GTTGGATAAGCGTGGATTTCGCATTAACATAGACAATGGTATTTGCTCTATTCATTATGGTAACGATTTATATGTGAATGGTTATCTCCAACATGATGTTTATGTCTTACCTAATGTGAATGCTAATTCGATAATGTATTTTTCTAGTCTTAAGAGGAAAAGAGATGATCAAGTAAATCATACATACCTTTGGCATTGTAGGCTTGGTCATATTGGAGAGAAAAAAAATTAACAAGTTGTACAAGGAAGGGTACCTTGATAAGTATGATTTTGAATCATATCCAACTTGTGAATCTTGTCTCAAAGGAAAAAAAAGACCAAATCTCCATTTACTGGAAGTGGAGAAAGAGCATCTGAATTATTGGGACTAATTCATACAGATGTTTGTGGGCGCATGAAAATTCAAGCTAGAGGTGGATATTCTTACTTCATCACCTTCACTGATGATATGTCAAGATATGGATTTGTGTATCTTATGAAACATAAATCTGAATCTTTTGAAATGTTCAAAAGGCTTCATAGTGAAGTTGAGAAACATACTGGTAAAAGTATCAAAGTACTAAGGTCTAATAGAGGTGGAGAATATCTTAGTGAAGATTTTACTAGGTATCTCAAAGAGAATGGGATTCTCTCCCAGTGGACACCTCCAGGAACACCACCACACAATGGTGTGTCTGAAAGGAGAAATCGAACCTTATTAGATATGGTGAGATCTATGATGGGGATCACTGATCTTCCGATAAATTTATGGGGATATGCTTTGGAAGCAGTAACATAATTACTTAATAATGTTCCCACTAAGTCAGTCTCTACAACACCATATGAGATATGGAAAGGACGCAAGCCTAACCTTAAACACATTAAGGTTTGGGGTTGTCCAACTTATGTTAAGAGACTGCAGTCTGATAATTTTGACTCAAGATTTGATAAATGTAGGTTCATTGGGTATCCCAAAGAAACAATGGGACATTATTTCTATCACCCTTCTGACCATAAAGTGTTTGTGGCTAAAGGAGCAACCTTTTTAGAAAGGGAGTTTCTTTTGGAAGGAAATTATAGTGGAGAAATAGAACTTGATGAAGTTCAAGAAATTAATGAATCAACACAAAATCAAGATCATGAGACACAAGTTGAAGAACCTTTATTGGATATTTTGAAGTTGACAAGGAAGTTGCAATCTTCAACGGTTGAAGTTCAAGAACTAAATGTAGTTCAAGAACAGGTTAATGAACCAGTTCCCAACCAAATTGAACAACAACCAAATCCAGCACAAGGTGAACATGTTGTACAAGCACCTCTTAAAAGGTCTACACGAGAACGTCATGTACCAACTAGATTAAATCTAATGGTACAAGATGATGTATCAAATGAGGTTGATCATAATGATGATGACCCTAAGACCTATGAAGAGGCTATACAAAGTTCTGATTATGAGAAATGAAAAAAGGCCATGGAATCCATGAAGAAAAATAAAGTATGGACTTTAGTTGAACCTTCAAAGGATATAAAACCTATAGGTTGTAAATGGGGTTTTAAGAAAATGATTGGAGCAGACGAAAAGGTGGAGACCTACAAAGCCCGTCTTGTTTCCAAGGGATATTGTCAGAAAGAAGGAGTCGACTATGACGAGACTTTCTCTCCCGTGGCAATGCTCAAATCAACTCGGATTTTGCTTGCTATAGCAGCATACTATGATTATGAAATATGGCAAATGGATGTGAAAACAGTTTTTCTTAATGGTGAGCTAGAAGAGGATATGTACATGACACAACCTGAAGGATTCACATCTTCATCTGATCATAATAAAATTTGCAAGCTACAAAGATCCATTTATGGACTAAAGCAAGCTTCTCGAAGTTGGAATATTCGCTTTAACAAGACAATTGAAAAGTTCAATTTTGTTAGATGCGAAGAAGCACCTTGTGTGTACAAAAAGGTTAGTAGGAGCACAATTATATTCTTAGTATTGTATGTTGATGATATATTGCTCATAGGGAATGACATACCGGCATTGCAAAGTATCAAGATTTGGCTATATGAACAGTTCTCCATAAAAGACTTGGGAGAATAAGATTATATATTAGGAATAAAGATCTATAGAGATAGATCGAGGAAGCTGCTTGGACTTTCCCAGCCTTTGTATATTGGTGCCATTCTGAAAAGGTATAATATGGATAACTCCAAAAGAGACTATCTACCGATAGGCACTGGAATTACTCTCAGTGGGGAGGATTTTCCTAAAACACCTGAAGAGAGAGAATGCATGAGTAGGATCCTATACGCTAGTGCAGTGAGAGCTATCATGTATACCGTGCCATGTACACGTCCTGATGTGGCTTATGCACTTGGAGTGACTAGCCGATATCAGGCTAATCCTGGTGAGGAACATTAGAAGGTGGTGAAGACCATTCTTAAGTACTTAAGAAGGACTAAAGACCAATACCTCATCTATGGAGATTCTATGTTGAAACTTGAAGGTTATACTGATGCAAGTTCTCTTCAGATAAAGATGATAGCAATGCTATTTCTGGTTATGTATTCACCTTAAATGGTGGTGCAGTGAGTTGGAAAAAGTTCTAAACAAGCTACAGTAGCTGATTCAATGACTGAAGTAGAATGTATAGCTGCTAAGGAAGCTGTATGGATGAAAAAGTTCTTAACTGAACTTAGTGTGGTTCCTTCAATAGAAGGTGCAGTTCCATTGTCGTGTGACAACACCGGAGCCATTGCTCAAGCAAAAGAACCAAGATCACACCAAAAATCCAAACACGTTCCACGAAGGTATCACTTGATAAGAAAGATCATTAAACGTGGAGACGTCGAGATTCAAAAGGTTGATAGAAAGAAAATGCTGCAGACCTATTCACTAAAGCTCTTGGCGCAAAGGAGTTTGACAAGCACAAGTGGAAATTGGGAATGAAGTACAAGAGCGTTTGGCTCTAGTGCAAGTGGGAGATTGTTAGGGATAGAGTAGATATGCCCTAGATCCAGTCTAATATTTGATGATTTGAACATATTTTTGTGAACGTTATTTGATATAAAAATATATGGCATCTGATATTCTTTTATCATAGTTATTATTATTTGTTTGATTAACTTGATAAGGTCCTTGATTAAATTTTGAGACTTGACATTGTGATGGAGATCATGATAATGAGAGTGAAATTTTTTAGTAATTTAATCTAAATCTTTTCTTGATCATATGATTATTAATTTGGACATTAATAATCTGGTTAGATCAATATTTATGTGATCGTCTTTATTGGATAAAGATTAGTTGATCTCATTAACTAAATCACATAGATAGATGATGCATATGGAGATATGATCATTGAGCCGACTCATTGAATAATTCCTAATGGTTAGAATTGCCATAAACTGTCAATAGAATATTATCTTGAAGAATGTGATGTAAGAGTTTCCTTTGACCTGAGATCGCCATAGTAATTGACAAGTTATTTATTGTGCTTTGATACTAGACACTTATGCCCCTAGGGTGATAGTTGAAAGGATAGTGGGTATGATTAAATGCTTGTAGAATTAGTGATTGATCAAGATGGAATCTGTCAACTCTTGGTAATGAGTTTAAGCTCCATGTTGTCATAAATTATAAACGACCAAATTAAGACCTTGGCCAGGGCAATTGAATGAAAAGAAGAAAAGAGTTTCTTAGGTCATTCAGTGGCCGATTATATTTGACATGCACACATAGTTGGTCGCCTATTAGGATTTGACAGTTGAACCATATCCTAGGGTGACTCAGAGCTATAAGGACAGAAAGAATTACTACATAATTCTTCTACTGGTTCTTAAGAGTAAATTGTATACTTCCTTCTATCCGGTCGTTAAGGAGTGTTGCTAGACGCCACGCTTGATTAGTATATTGATGTGATTAATTTACTACTGATTTAGTATTGAACCTATGGGGTCGCACACTAACGAGTGTTCTGATCTTTGCTAAAGGATTAATTAACTTGTTACTTGACAATTGAATTAAGAATTTAATTAGTCAAATAAATAAAATTATTAGTCCAAATCATGAAATATTATTATATTCTTTGCTAGCACAGAGGATATAAGTAATATTGCGAACAAATTGAAGTTTTCTATTTTTGAAATAGTAAATTAAATTATATCTCTTGGTTAAAATATATATGTGATATATATATAATATAATATAAAATAATATTAATTTATATATATGTTATATATATAATATTAGTTTATACCTCATCAATTTGGTATTGGAGATGAAAGTCCACAAAGGACAATGGAATGCACGTGATTCCCACTATATATATATATATATATATATATATATATATATATATATATATATATATATATATATTGGAAAACTCTTATATTGTTTAATTTGGAATTGGACTCTCACGTTACCCATGGGTAACGTGATTATCGATTTTTCCATAAAGTTTTGCCGGTTAATTAATTATTGAGAAAAAAAATCATTTTGTGAAAGTGAGAGTGCAATACAAAGCCAAGAGAGAAAATACAATTTATAAGAAAAGTGTTTCTTGTTCTTCTAATTTGAGTTGAGATTTTTGAGAAAAATTTCAGCACAAGTTTTTCGTTCAATTTGTTCGTGGGTTTCATTGATCAAAGAGTTGATAACAAGGATCAGTTTCAGTGTGGATACGCATAGAGTCTTCGCACTATTGAAGAAATTTTGAATCGAGACTCTCTTCACCAGGTACGTCTTAGATCCGATCTTTGACATGTAAATAAATTTTAAGCACGAAAAGTTTTGCCTAGGATTGTTATTGTCTTCCGCATATGCAATCCTTCACATATATGCAGCTTCCTTTTGAATATTTTGTTATATTTCATTTGTTTGTTTGGATATTCAAATTTAGCTCACTGCCCAGAGTTCCTCAACTATAAATTGAACGGAACCAACATAAAAGGATGAGTAACTTGCCATAATTTTATCGTCAATATATATTAATGATACATTAAGAGAAAGATAAATACCATTAAAAGAATCGAAAAATATCAGTTCAATATAGTGAAATTCATGAAGTCAGTCCATGAATTATGGTCATACAAAGTCACAACTCCACAATTTACATCTGAATTCATAGAAATACAAACATCATGATAATTAGACCTGACTCGTCAAAAAAAAAAAAAAAACCAATGAGATTCAAAAGTAACAAACATGAAATGTAACAAACTAAAAGTCCAATGTGACAATTCCAATTTAATGCAGGAAATTCTTGGTTAAGAGTAGTATTAGCATGGCTTAGCGCAGGGATTCTATATGTTTGTTCAGCTCCTCCAATTTCGTCATCCTCAGTTTTTCACTTTCACTTACCAACTGTCCATTGTTCACAAAAAAAAGGGGAAATATATTAAAACTACAAAAATACAAACATATACACTTAGAAATATGATAGTGTTAGTTTAACGAGACAAGAAACAAAAGCTAATTACCTCCATTAATTTGGTAAGAAGCTGAGCTTTTTCCTTGCTTTTTGCATTGAATGCATCAAGGGCTTCCTTGTATTCCTTTTCCTGTCAATAAAGATTATAATTCCATGATTCAGTAATTAATTGCATCTTATTATTTCAGGCACCAACCCCACACTATTTTTTTTTTAAAACTATTGGATGTTCAGGCAGAAGCGTATGATACTTTCTGACTCGAATTATGCATATATATATATATATATGCACAATAAAAAGATATTAAAATGTATAATAAGATTAAACTCATTCTCAACTACCGACTTAATATCCTGAATTTGCCTTCGTCTCCAGGTAACCCTAATAAGAAGATGTTTCCTCCTAACATTGTTGTTCTCAAATACTTAATAATACAATAATATAGGTGGTCCTAAACTGAGGCGGATCTACATATAATATAATGAGGAGTTACCAGACCCCATTAACTTCGGCAGAAATATTGTATTCACATATGTATATACCTTGAAAATGATTATATAATTAACTTCAGTACCCCGAATAGTAAAAGTCTTTAGGGGTACTAATTAAGCAGGATAGTTATGCCCCATCACGATAAAATCTTGGATCCGCTTCTGGTCCTAAATCATCAGTTTTGAATATTGTGTGTATGAGAGAGAAAGTCTTATGGATCCTATACAAAAATAGAATCCAAAGACTTTTTAGTGTACCAACGGCTATGAACCAACTGTCTGTCTGTCTGTCCCCTTGTCTTTTAGTAAAGTAACTATAGTTAATTTACCTAAAGTTAAAAAAAAGGTATAGTCTAATGTTTTACCTTTCTCTGGCAGCTCTGTCCCAACGGCTTTAATTCACGGTTGACTAAGTCAATCTTCTTCCTCACAAGTGTAACTTCCTTCCCAGCTGGATCAACAAATGATTCAAGCTTCTACCAGATTTTCCATGAAAAAAAAACAAAAAAAGAAAATGTCTATTGTCAAGAAAACATTAATATATAACAATAAACATATTGTAACATAGACACATAGTACTAGTAAATAATTGGCTGGTACACTAAGCTTCCGTCATGTGTGGAGTTCGGAAAAGGGCTCGACCACAGGGGTCTATTATACACAATTTTACCCAGAGGCGAAGCCAGAATTTCAAACTTAATGCGTTCAGAATCCTAATCCTTTTAAGTTACTAGATTCCAAATTATAACTTGTACATATTTAATGAAAATTTTAAGATAAATATATGATTTGAACCAAATCTACTGGGTTCGGCTGAAGCCATAGTCGATACTATGGCTCCGTCTCTGGTCTTAACCTCCATTTATGCAAGAGGTTGTTGGAACTCGTAACCTCCATGTTATATGACAGTAACTTTATAAATTACGCCAAGACTCCCGTTCAGTACTAGTAGTAATTAAAAGGAGAAAAAAGTTGTGGTTTTACAAGTTGAGTATGATAAATTGACTCGAGAATAGAGATAATTTGTAAATGTTACCTCGCGAATTTCAGCTAAACGCTTAGTTTCTTCCTCAACGCGGCCTAATTGAGCTTGAACTTTATCAGAAACTTCTTTTCTCTTCTTTTCAATCTCTTCTTCTTTTGCGCGAAATGCAGATAATGCTGATCTTGTCATTTCTTCCTCTCTCTCGTCGATCATCGGACTTCCATTGTAGCTTATGATCCCTGAATTCTTCATCTTTACAACTTGTTGCTCCATTTGCTTAGGAGTAGTCATTCGTTAATTTCCTTCTCTTTGTAACCCTATTTATTTATTTATTTATTTATGCTTTGGAATGGAATACTATTTGCCTTCTGGCTTTTCTACTATTGTCAGATGCTTATCACCAAGCTTGGACTTAATTTAAAGGCAACTAAACATCTTGCTTTCTTTATAACAAATCTTGCTTCAAGTCATATTACCACAATGCCCTCCAAACGTTTATTCGGAATAAATTAAACACTCGATTTCACTTTCCTTTTCTTCACTTAAAACCCTCCTATTTTGTTTGAGTTTATGATATGAAATGCTTATATTATTCTTTTCTTATTAGGGTAGCATACTAATATATAGAAAAATTTGGTTAGACTACTTTTCCGTGGTTTGGTGCATTGGCAAATTTATGTAACTACACAAATTGATTAAAAAAATTTATAAAGCATTAACTTCCAAATCAAGCACAACTATGCATTTCAAGAATTCCACAAATTTACTCTTTTCTGAGTCATAGACTATGTCATACATTTCAATTTTGAGAGTCGAACAACTTTAAAGTCACAGATTTTTGGAAGGATGATCAAATATTTATGAAGGATTGAAACCAAGATTCATAAGTGTGTGGAATATAGAAGTTAAATTCTAGTTTTGTATCTAAATACAATTATTAGAAGGGGCTTGGAGTAACGATCAAGTTATCTCATGTGACCTATAGGTCATGAATTCGAGCCATAAAATCAGTCATTGATGTTTGTTTCAGGGTAAGTTACCTACTTTATACCCCTTGATTGCGGCCCTTCCCTGAACCCTGCGTTTGTTGTATAGGGCTATTCTTTTTCATCTAAAATCAATCATTTAGTGGATGACTAATATTGGTTGGAGGGTCTTGAAGAGAATTGGTGAAATATTCTTTTTCCTACAAGATTAGGTGCTTGGCCTACAAGATTTTTATACAAGTGGACAGTAAGTCTTCACCTAAAAACAGCAAATATTTGCATGAGAGCCTTAGGGTCCAAGACAGAGTAGGAGAGAAGTGTAAACTGCTGGCTTCCTTTTTTAGATAATGATTTGCTCCTACCTTTTTTTTTCCTTTCATATTTCTTAACACCTCTTTCTTTTGACAGGTGTTTAGAGATAAAAGGGAAAAACTGGTCCAGTTTTATCATATGTTTGACTCTATACTTTTTGCAGACAATTTTGAAATATCTTACATATTCCTAAAAAATCTAAAAGGTTTAATATGCTATGTTTTTTAATTAATCTTCTTTTGAAATTTAAACCATCATGATTAAGGTTAATGACAGTTTCTTCAAGTTTGAATTCCCTTTTCTTTTAAGGCAGGGACCAAATGAAGACTAAAATAATTCAAAGTAGTTTTATTCTTTACGATTAATATATTTGTAATCCATTGGAAGTCTTTTGAGTTTTTGTAGCGTAATGGTTAAAAAGAAAATCCCACTTTGATGAAAAACAGCCTGTGGCATGATTGAATATTTATTTTGTCTAGTCATAACAAAGGCCTACCTTCATTTACCATTCAAAATTTTGAAATCAAACAATATATATTCTTATCTTTTAGGGGAGTTCTTCTTTTTTTCTTTTCAAGTTTTACATAATTAGTAGGCGTTTGGACATAAGAATTGTAAAATTCCGAAAAAAAGTAAATAAAAAAAAATCAAGTGAAAATGGTATTTGAAAATTAAAGTTGTGTTTGGACATGAATATAATTTTGGGTTGTTTTGGAATTTTTGTGAGTGATCTGAGTGAAAACTTTGAAAAACAGCTTTTTTTGAGTCTTTCAAATTTTCGAAAAATTTCAAAATTCATCTTCAACTAAAAATTAAAAATTTTATGATCAAACACTAATTTCGAAAAAAGTAAAAAAAATCTTGGTGAAACGGGCTCTTAATACTATATGATATAAGAGCAGAATTGTACTGAATAACAAATGAGTAAGCCAACATTGACATCAAGCTCTTTACCTTTACGAAAAGCAGAAGACATAGTATAACAGATGGATATGATGGGGTGTGGCAATAATTGAGCCTTCTTTTATTTTATTCGAGGATGTTTGAACAAACATTAAACTTGAGATGAATCTTTTTTAACACATGGAGTAAGTTAAATATATACAACCACTTATGAAGTAACAAGTATATAATTAGTATAACAGTTATTCTTTATTACAAAAAAAATATGTCTTTTTTAAGCGAACCAAAATAAAAAGAATGTAATATAAATGAAACTAAGAAAATAATAATAATGGTAATAATTATAATAATTGATTATTATTGTTATGACTGTTATTATTATATCGTTGTCGTTAGCACTATCTTACGCTTTACAGCATATCTTAAGACATGTCACGCCAGATGAGACCACCATAATTTTGTGATTGTTTGTTAAATTGGGGCAACTTGCATCAGTTCAAGTTGGACTGTTCTCTGATGGGCTTTGGTTGATACTTCATTATTGGGATATTATATATATAGTGTTAATGATCAAAACTAACTGTATTTTTTTTTTTAAATTATACTAGTCTTAGGGTACGCGCTTTGCGCGTGTACATATATTAATAAATACACAAATTTCAAAAATTACATACATATTATTAAATAATTTGTTTGAGTTATAAAATATAATTTAAGATTTTCTTAAAAATAATTAAAATTATTCCCATCTAGTTAGCTTAACAAATGAAGGAATTTTATTTAGATGCCATATTGTTATTTAGTCCGGACTTATGTCGAAACTTATGAAAATTGTTAATATTTACAATTCTTTAGAGATTTATCAAATAACACAAATTAAAAATTAAATCTCTTGGTCTTTTAAAAATTTTACGAATTAAAAAAGTTGGCATTATACCTTCTAAGAATTTGATAGTGACAATGTAAAGTTTAAAGAATGACTAATATTAAACTAATATTTTACAAGAAAAAACTTAGTATAAAAATTATAGCAAGATGTTTTCATTTGTTGGACTGAATGCAAGAAAGAAAGAAATGACAATTCATTTATAATCTAGTTGCCTTCTACAATTTTACCTTATTGCTTAAAATTTGTTTTTCACTGAATTGAATCTTTATGTTTTACTATAATTAATTTTTCTATATTTTATGATTCTTTCACCGTCATACTCTTCGTACAAAAATAAAATTTATGTACTTTAAGTGTTTTGTCAATTTAATAAACAATTTTTCTTATATGATATATTTGTAAAATAATTGAATTGGATTCGTTTGCTAATTAGTTAATTCAGCGACTTAATTATTTGTTCTCAAACATTAAAAGAAATAACTTATTTTTTATTAATTCAAATTCTGAATATTTCTCATTCGTATTTTTAAATATTGGAGAATAATTATAATTTTTTCAATAAGAATTCGATTTTTCAAATAGTAAAAAAAATTATTTGTTTTGAATCTTTATGTTTATAGAATTCGTTGTGTATTTGATTCCTACAGAATTTTGTTAACTCACGTTTTGCATAATAAGAATCTTATAGGAATAGTTCAATATAACTCTAATATTAATGGGCTTTAACTAAGGAAAATTTTAGTTGATTTCAAAGTCCTAAAATTAGAAAAATAATTAAACGATTAATTTATCTAGTATAAAATCTATTTTTAAAGGGCAAAATAGGCGAATGATATTTCACTAAGGACGTTTATGCTTTTAATATTGTATAAATAGATAAATAGATAAAGATTTTAATGCTCTAATAAGATGTACAATTGCTCCAACTACACCAAATATGGTTATAATATTTTAGGACGGTTCTAATTAAATCTGTCAAAATATTAACGTAACATTTCAATAAACGGACAGAGAAGAAACCAAAATTTTAAAAGAACAATTTGTTAAAAAACTTATTTTTGCTTGTTTTTCGCTTTCGGTTACCAAATTAGCCGATAAGTCTAACAGAAATAGACTAAAAAGGTATAAAACTTATGTATAATTTGGATTTGTCCAAAGATGAAATTTTATTATATTTAACTATTTAAGTGTAAGCATAAAATTAAGGGTAAAGACTTGAAAAAATAAATATGCCTGACGGGGGATTTGGAGAAAGATAGAATTTTATTATATTTAACTATCTAAATTTGACACTAAATATGATCAAATTATTATTATCAAAATAAAAGGCCAAAGACTTGGAAAAGAATTTCCTAACGGTTCCTAACATGGTTAAAAAAATATGGAAACTTAGAATGATTTAAGAAGAGTCTTAATACTTAGGATCTTGTACATAGTTAAAATAAGAAAGTATTTAATAAATAAATTTTTAGTTGATTTCAAAGTCCAAAATTTTAGGTAAATAA